AGTGGGTTTTTCTCAACAAGTTTCCTGGTGACCCACGCCTCTCGTGGGTCACCTGGTGTGCTTGCGCCGTATGGCAAACATTGAGTGGCAGTGCATCGACACATGTTGAGGCCCAGGATGCAGGTGAATCAATGTGTTTTTCTCAACCAGTTTTCTGGTGACCCACCCCTTCGGGCACCTGGTGTGCTTGCACCGCATGGAAAACGCATAAAGTGGCAATGCGTCGCCTCATGACGAGGCCCAGGATGCAGGTGAAACAGTGGGTTTTTCTCAACCCGTTTTCTGGTGACCCACGTTTTCGTGGGTCACCTGGTGCGCTTGCGCCGTATGGAAGACGTATTCAGTGGCAATGCGTCGCCTCATGTTGGGGCCAAGAGTGAACGTAAAACAATGGGCTTTTCTGAACCAGTTTTCTGGTGACCCACCCCTTCGTGGGTCACCTGGTGTGCTTGCGCCGTATGGAAAACGTATTGAGCGGCAGTGCGTCGCCTCATGTTGAGGCCCAATATGCAAGTAAAACAATTGTTTTTTCTAAACCCGTTTTCTGGTGACCCACCCCTTCGTGGGTCACCCGGCTTGCTTGCGCCGTATGGCAAACGTATTGAGTGGAAGTGCGTCGCCTCATGTTGAGGCCCAGAATGCAAGTGAATCAGTGGTTTTTTCTCAACCAGTTTTCTGGTGACCCACGCCTTCGTGGGTCACCTGGTGTGCTTGCGCCGTATGGAAAACGCATTGGGTGGCAATGCGTCGCCTCATGTTGAGGCCCAGGATGCAGGTGGAACACTTTCTGTTTTTCTCAACCAGTTTTCTGGTGACCCACGCCTTCGTGGGTCACCTGGTGTGCTTGCGCCGCATGGAAAACGCATTGGGTGGCAATGCGTCGCCTCCTGTTGAGGCCCAGAATGCAAGTGAAACAACTGGTTTTTCTCAACCAGTGATCTGGTGACCCACCCCTTCGTGGGTTACCCGGTGTGCGCTTGCATCGAATGACAAACGTTTTGAGTGGCAGTGCGTCGCCTCATGCTGAGGCCCAGAATGCAGGTGAACAATTAGTTTTTCTGAACCAGTCTTCTGGTGACCCACCCCTTCGTGGGTCACCTGGTGTGCTTGCGCCGTGTGGCAAACATATTGAATGGCAGTGCGTCGCATCATGGCGAGGCCCAGGATGCAGGTGACACAACTTGTTTTTTTCAACCAGTTTTCTGGCGACACACCCCTTCGTGGGTTACCTGGTGTACTTGCGCCGTCTGGAAAACGTATTGGGTGGCAATGCGTCGCCTCATGTTGAGGCCCAGAAGGCAAGTGAAACGATTTGTTTTTCTCAACCAGTTGTCTGGTGACCCACCCCTTCGTGTGTCACCTGGTGTGCTTGCGCCGTATGGAAAACGTGTTGAGTGGCAATGCGCCGCCTCATGTTGAGGCCCAGAATGCAAGTGAAACATCTTGTTTTTCTCAACCAGTTCTGTCGTGACCCTCCCTGCGCCAAATGGAAAACTTATTGAGTGGCAATGCGTCGCCTCATGGGGAGGCCCTCAATGCAAGTGAAACAATTTGTTTTTTCTCAAGCAGTGATCTGGTGACCCACCCCTTCGTGGGTGCTTGCGCCAAATGGAAAATGCATTGAGTGACAATGCGTCGCCTCATGTTGAAGCCCAGAACGCAAGTGGAACAGTTGTTTTTTCTCGACCAGTTTTCTGTTGACCCACCCCGTCGTTGGTCACCCGGTTGGCTTGCGCCGCCTGGAGAACGTATTGAGTGGCAGTGCGTCGCCTCATGTTGAGGCCCAGAACGCAAGTGAAACAACTTGTTTTTCTCAACCAGTGATCTGGTGACCCACCCCTTCGTGGGTGCTTGCGCCAAATGGAAAATGCATTGAGTGGCAATGCGTCGCCTCATGTTGAGGCCCAGAATGCAAGTGAACCAATTGGTTGTTCTCAACCAGTTTTCTGGTGACCCACCCCCTGGTGTGCTTGCGCCGCATGGAAAACGCATTGAGTGGCAGTGCGTCGCCTCATGACGAGGCCCAGGATGCAGGTGGAACACTTTGTTTTTCTCAACCAGTTGTCTGGTGACCCACCCCTTCGTGGGTCACCTGGTGTGCTTGCGCCATATGGAAAACGTATTGAGTGGCAATGAAACGCCTCATGTTGAGGCCCAGCGTGTCAGTGACACAATTGGTTTTTCTCAACCAGTTTTCTGGTGACCCACCCCTTCGTGGGTCACCTGGTGTGTTTGCGCCGCATGGAAAACGTATTGAGTGGCAGTGCGTCGCCTCATGTTGAGGCCCAGAATGCAAGTGAAACAATTGTTTTTTCTAAACCAGTTTTCTGGTGACCCACCCCTTCGTGGGTCACCTGGTGTGCTTGCGCCGCATGGAACGGGCATTGAGTGGCAATGCATCGCCTCATGTTGAGGCCCAGAATGCAAGTGGAACAACTTGTTTTTCTCAACCAGTGATCTGGTGACCCACCCCTTCGTGGGTTACCCGGTGTGCGCTTGCATCGAATGACAAACGTTTTGAGTGGCAGTGCGTCGCCTCATGTTGAGGCCCAGGATGCAAATGGAACAACTGGTTTTTCTCAACCAGTTGTCTGGTGACCCACCCATTCGTGGGTCACCTGGTGTGCTTAGGCCGCATGGAAAACGTATCGAGTGGCAATGAATCGCCTCATGACGGGGCCCAGGATGCAGGTGACACAACTTATTTTTCTCAACCAGTTTTCTGGTGACACACCCCTTCGTGGGTCACCTGGTGCGTTTGCGCCGCATGGAAAACGTATTGAGTGGCAATGTGTCGCTTCATTTTGAGGCCCAGGATGCATGTGAAACAATTGGTTTTTCTAAACCAGTTTTCTGGTGACCCACCCCTTCGTGGGTCACCTGGTGTGCTTGCGCCGCATGGAACGGGCATTGAGTGGCAATGCATCGCCTCATGTTGAGGCCCAGAATGCAAGTGGAACAACTTGTTTTCTCTCAACCAGTGATCTGGTGACCCACCCCTTCGTGGGTTACCTGGTGTGCTTGCATCGAATGACAAACGTTTTGAGTGGCAGTGCGTCGCCTCATGTTGAGGCCCAGAATGCAAATGGAACAATTGATTTTTCTCAACCAGTTGTCTGGTGACCCACCCCTTCGTGGGTCACCAGGTGTGCTTGCGCCGCATGGAAAACGTATCGAGTGGCAATGAATCGCCTCATGACGAGGCCCAGGATGCATGTGAAACAGTTGGTTTTTCTCAACAAGTTTTCTGGTGACCCACGCCTTCGTGGGTCACCTGGTGTGCTTGCGCCGCATGGAAGACGTCCAAGGTGGCAGTCATCAGGATTCCTCGGAGGGCGCCAGGCCATGTCCTAGGGATTCCTGAGGTTCCCCTTGTGGTTCCTAAGGGTGCCCTAAGGATTCTTGGGGATTCACTAGGGATTCCTAAGGAACCCCGAGGGATTCCGAAAGATTCCCTGAGGACCCCGCAGGATCCCCGAACGATTCCTGAGGATTTCCGAAGGGATTCTTTGGGAGCGCCGAGAGCTTCCCCAGGATTCCCGAGGGATTCTTCAAGATTCCGTTTTGAATCCCAAGGATTCCGCAGGGATTCTCTTGGATTCCCGAGGGGGTCATAAGGATTCCCGAGGGTTTCCGGATTCCGCGGGGATTCTTAACGACACCTTAGGGATTCCAAAGGATGCCTTCGGGATTCCTGAGGATTCCCAAGGGATCCCTCAGGATTCCCTTAGGATTCTTGAGGAGCTCGTCAGGATTCCTAAGGATTCCCTAGGGCTTCCTAGGGATGCCCTCGGGAGTCCTAAGGATTCCCTTGAGATCCTTGTGGATGTCCTAGGGATTCCTAAGGATTCCTTAGGGATTCCTACGGATTCCCAAGGGATCCCCAAGGATTCCCAGAGTCTGCCCCTCGCAGGCCGCCCTTCACATGCGTCCATAGGCTTCCCCCGATAGGCTGTCCCCCATCGGCAAATTCAGGGAAACCCTCCACCGCCCGCCCAGCCAAGAATAATTTACGTTGCGCGCCTCCCTTTAATTCAAATTAACCCCCCATGCTAAAGCAGCAGGGCCGCGCACGCCAAGAATATTAATTTGAAGTTTTTATTCTTCTTCGGAAATTTCAGGGTTACCTGTAATTTCAACCCCCAGGTCAGCCCCAGAATAATAATAATATTGCATTTAGTTTTGTTTCAGAACATATTGAGATTCTTGGGGAATTCGAAGAGAACCCTCGAATTTCCCCCCCCCCAAAAAAAACAAGAAAAAGTAGCTAATCGATAGGGTTGAATAGCTTTCAGCGCCCCGTCATAGGGACCTCCGGTGACCCTCGGGGGCCCTGACGAACGAACACGCACACACCCATACTCATAGGGGGGGCGGAGGGGGCTCTGGGTGCGTGTTGTCGGACGGTGGTCCCCGCTCTGCAGGGAACCTCCCCCCGCGGCCCGACAACCCGCACCCGTACCAATAGACTGTCCATCTCCGTCCGATCCCCCTATGGGTATAGGTGTGTGTGTGTTGTTCTTTCATCAGACCTTCACTGGCCTCCAGAGGCCTTCTCGCGCCGCGAGCAAAGACACGGCGAGAGGCCTTTGGCCGTGTCCGGCCTCAGCGGGGCCCTCACTGGGCCTGGGGGCCGTCAGAGCACGGCTCGGCATGGCACGCGGTGGCGAGGCGTCCCTGCTTGCCCACTGGCCCACCAAATATTGTTCCAAGAACGGCTTGCAGTTTGCGCGAGATGCTCTTGGAGCATTTTTGGTTGAGGCTGTCTTGTCTTAAGACATCGGCCTTCATGCTCTGAGAAAAGGACGTTGTTTAGGTTGTCTGATCATCCTTTTGTTTTAAGTTTTTTTCGTGGTAGGCCTATAGGAGAGCTGGGACGGTCGGTCCCTGCCCAAGGATGAGAAGGCCATCCCCCGGAAGAGGCCCAGACCTCGAGGGAGACCACGCAGCAGACAAATCGCAACGTCGGATGTCTTGATCGCGCTGCCATGCCCCCGCAGGCGGCCACCTGATCGCCTCGCTTGCAGTGGCGGAGCGCGGGGCCAGCCGCTCGGAGGCCTGCTCCGTTGGCCTGCGCTCGCGCCCGCCTTCGCCGATTCCTCTTGTTCTGCGCGGGGGGCTCGGGTGCTGCCAGCCAGTCGGGCGCTCAAAGAGACGTCCTCGCTCGAGGCGCATCTCTTCGCCCTCGGCGGAAGGCCGGCGGAGCTCGGCGGAGGCAAAACGGCGGCATGTCCGCTGGCGGGCGCCAGCGGATGCTCGGGAGAAGGCGGGGGAAGTAAAAGTAGAAGCGAGAAGGCAGCACGCTCAGTCGGAGCAGACATTCGCGTCCAGGCTGCAGGCTGCACGAGGGAGGTCCCTGGTCTTGGAACCTGCGGCGGATCGAGGCGTTGGGGCGAACAGTCGGTGATTCTTCCCTTAGTGCATTGCGATTCATGGGTCGAGTGATACAATGGGGATGTGAATTGGTCTACATTGCGCTTTGTTTGCAATGTGGCCCGAAGAGTCTTAACGTTGCCAGGGCTGGAAGGTCGCATCGCACGCTGTTTGGAAACTTCAGTGGATGACGCTTTTTCATCTGAGGTTCTGGAAATGGGGAAGTGTGGAAATCGGGAAGTGTACACTGGAGCTTGCTTGGGGAGGGATAGAGACAGAGAAAGAGAGAGAGAGAGAGAGAGCGAGAGGGACAGAGCGACCCATCTTGCCCACGTTGTTTCCCATTTCGCGCGGCGAACGTATCACGTGCTCTTTCTTGGATGTCTATTTGTACCGCTGCTCTCTCATTCGCGAAGCACGCCATCTGTTCTGACACCGGCATCGCCAGGAGTGCCGTGGTTCATCGGCCCTCGACGCACAGGTTGCCAGGGGCAGTGAAATTGTCAGTGATAAGGATTGTCAGGGATGTGGTCTTGATTGCCATGCCCATGCTGGCAACGGCGGCGATGAGAGGGACTCGGGCAACAGGAGACAGCGAGGAGGGAGGTTGCACCGGGAGTTTACGAACCCGCTCCAAAACGTCCATTTGCCATTACAGTTCTCTCTATTCCATGTCTTATTACTTCATACGGCTCTTCGTCGCGCCACCAGGCATCACCAAGCGTCGGTAGGGCGGGCCTGGCGGCTCGCTGAGGACTTCATGCGGGGGTAGTTTTTTTCAACGTGCAGCGGAAACATGTTGTTAGCATTCGCACCGATGGAGGTCAGAGCAAATTCAACATCGCTCCCTTCGCATGATGCGTTATCACAATTATCACAATGCCAGACATCGAAGCTTGCACGTTCCAAGACAAAAGCATGCTAGTTCTGGGTTGATGCAAATCGAATTCTTTACGCTTCGCGTATCCCCACCAGCCCATCTCACAGCAGCAACTCTTGCGAAGCATGCCGACAGTCGTGTTTTTACCTAACAGCGAAGACTGATAGGTTTCTAGTAGTGTCAAAAGAGGTCACAGATCACTCCACAGGGGGGTCCGGGCAGGTGTTGGGAGTTGCCGGGCGGGCCTGTGCCGAGCTCGTTTTTCACCAACAGTCACACACTTCGTGCTCTTCGAGTTCCCAGAACTCCATTCCCAGGCTCATTCTGAATAACCGGATGCAACAGTCACACACTTCGTGCTCTTCGAGATCCCAGAACGCCATTCCCGGGCCACCTTTAGAATAACCGGATGCAACAGTCACACACTTCGTGCTCTTCGAGTTCCCAGAACTCCATTCCCGGGCCACATTCTGGAGGGCCGGATGCAACAGTCACACACTTCGTGCTCTTCGAGTTCCCAGAATTCCATTCCCGGGCCACATTTTGGATGCCCGGAGCCAACTGTAGGCCACTTCGTGCTCTTCGAGTTCCCAGAACTCCATTCCCGGGCCACATTTTGAATGCCCGGAGCCAACTGTAGGCCACTTCGTGCTCTTCGAGTTCCCAGAACTCCATTCCCGGGCCACATTTTGAATGCCCGTAGCCAACTGTAGGCAACTTCGTGCTCTTCGACTTCCCAGAACTCCCATTCCTGGGCCACATTTTCAGCAGGGGCAAGAGCACGACGAGGAGGAGGACGAGCAAGACCAGGAGGACGAGGACGAGCAGGAGCAGGACGAGGAGCAGGAGGAGCAGGAGAAGAAGGACGAGCAGGAGGAGGAGGAGGACGAGCAGGAGGAGGAGGACGACCAGGAGGAGGAGGACGACCAGGGAGGAGGAGGAGGAGGAGGGGAGGGGGAGGAGGGAGGAGGAGGAGGAGGAGGAGGAGGAGGAGGAGGAGGAGGAGGAGGAGGACGAGGACGAGGAGGAGGAGGAGGAGGGGGGGGAGAGTACCAGGAGGAGGAGAACGAGGACCACCAGGAGGAGGAGGAGGAGGAGGAGGAGGAGGAGGAGGAGGAGGAGGAGAGAAGTACGAGAACGAGGCAGGAGGAGGAGGAGGAGGAGGAGGAGGAGAGAACACCAGGAGGAGGAGGACGAGCAAGACGAGGAGGACGAGAACGAGGACGACCAGGAAGAGGAGGAGGAAGAGGAGGAGGGGAGGGGGAGGACTACCAGGAGGAGGAGGAGGAGGAGGAGGAGGAGGAGGAGGAGGAGGAAGAGGAGGAGGAGGACGAGGAGGAGGAGGAGGAGGACGAGGAGGAGGAGGGGGGGGGAGAGCACCAGGAGGAGGAGAACGAGGACCACCAGGAGGAGGAGGAGGAGGAGGAGGAGGAGGAGGAGGAGGAGGAGGAGAGAGCACCAGGAGGAGGAGGACGAGCAAGACGAGGAGGACGAGAACGAGGACGAGCAGGAGGAAGAGGAGGAGGAGGAGGAGGAGGAGGAGCAGGAGAAAGAGGAGGAGGAGGAGGAGGAGGCAGGCTGAGGCTGAGGCTGTGACTGCGACTGCCGTTGCCGCTGCGACTGTCATCGCGAATGCGACTACGACTGCGAGAACAGCAAAATTCGACAACTGGATTTTCATCTGAATCTTAAGGGGAATGCTTTCAGATATGCTTCTACACATCGCTGTTAGGTTGCTTTGCCGGGATAATTCAGGCGTGTGTCCGCTTGGCCCCGCATATCTCCCCTGTTCCTCCTCCCCCCCGCCTCCTTGCACATCCTCCTTGTGGGGGGGAGCGGGAGAAGGACGAGGCGGAGGAGGAGGGAGAGAAAGCGCTCTTCGTGATGTGAGTCGTTTGGGGTTTCTCGTCCTGGTGTCAGTCGTTCGGGCCCTTCTTCCTGGTGTGAGTCGTTCGGGCTCTTCGTGGTGTGAGTCGTTCGGGCTCTTCGTCCTGGTGTGAGTCGTTCGGGCTTCTCGTGGTGTGAGTTGTTCGGGCCCCTCATCCTGGTGTGAGTCGTTCGGGCCCCTCCTCCTGGTGTGACTCGTTCGGGCTCCTCGTGGTGTGAGTCGTTCGGGGCCCGCGTCGTGGTGTGAGTCGTTCGGGCTCCTCGTGGTGTGAGTCGTTCGGGCGCCTCGTCCTGGTGTGAGTCGTTCGGGCCCCTCCTTGTGGTGTGAGTCGTTCGGGCTCTTCGTGGTGTGAGTCGTTCGGGCCCCTCGTCCTGGTGTGAGTCGTTCGGGCTCCTCGTGGGGCCTCTTGGGGGCCTCTTGGAGCCTCTTGGGGCCTCTTGGGGGCCTCTTGGGGCCTCTGGGGGCCTCTTGGGGGCCTCTTGGGGCCTCTTGTGGCCTCTTGGGGGCCTCTTGGGGGCCTCTTGGGGGCCTCTTGGGGCCTCTTGGGGGCCTCTTGGGGGCCTCTTGGGAGCCTCTTGGGAGCCTCCTGGGGGCCTCTTGGGGCCATCTTGGGGCCTCTTGCGACCTCCTCAGAAGCGCAAATGAGCGCTGCCCCCTGAGAAGGACAAAATGAGCCCAAAACCTTGATAAAATCAATGATTTTGCTATGAAGGAAGATGAGCGCGGCCCCCTCATAACGCCAAAATGAGGCCAACACCATAGTAAAATCAATGATTTTGGCTTTTAAGAAGAGCAGAGGGGCCAAAGTGGCCCCCCCCGTCGGGGCCAGAATCCTCGTGAGGGTCGTCGTTTTTTGGCCCTTCCAGGAGTCAAAAAGGACCCCCCTGACGACGCTCGGCCCGCCCTCTCCAGGTCCAGGGGTAGGGGGTAGGGGGAGGGGTAAACCCCTCCCCGAAGGGGAAGAAGGGGGGTTGAGAACAGAGAGAGCTCGCTAAACCACTCACGCCCAAAGGGCTGGTGGGATTTCGCCTGTCGCCTGGGACGCAGATGTGGCCGTGCTCGTTCCGATCTTGGCCGACGCTTGTGGCGTGTTACATGCGCAGATTAAGTCCTACTGCGTTGCGTGAAGGAATCGATCGTGGATGATGGGTCGGCGGACGCTCCTTGCCGCCCGCACTGTGCGGTTTGTTGGTGAGCTGGTCGCGGCGACGCCAGGCAAGGTGGCTGCGCACCGAAGCTGAGGCCTGACGGAGGAGTGCCGAAGCTGCGCACCACACGTCATCGGGCCCCCTTTCTGGCAAGGCTTGGCAGCGGGGGCGCAGGGCACGGGGGACGAGGGAGGCGTGCCGTTCGGATGCCGCGGACCGTCTGGCCCGTCGGATTGGGGCCGCCGTGAAGGCCTACCTGCCCGCCACGGTCCCATGGCGCGCCTCGCGGCCGAGAGGTCGTTTCGCGAGGTTCGCGCGCAGTGTGCCGCCGATTGGGTCGGGGAGGGCCGGCGGGGAGGCCAGAGCGCCCAACCTCTGCGCTGCCACCAGTGCAATGGAGGCGACTGGCCTCGCCGCCCTCGGGGCCGGGGGGCCCGAGCAGCGGCCAGCAACACGTGCACACGTACGCGGTCCGCTTGCGTTGGCCTGCGCTGTAACGCGGCCACTCGTGCCACGTACACCTCTTCACGCGGAGGGCGGGCCTGTACACCTCTTCACGCCGCAGCGCGGCAGGGTCAGTCCGCACGCGCGCTCGGCAGGCCCGCGGACAGGTACACGTGTCTCTGCTCGCTCGCTCGAGGTGCCTTGCAGGGGGGGGGGGGGGGGGCTGTGCCCCTGACAGCGAGGGGCCGTCGCGCCGCAGGCGCCCCCTGGTCTGGGCCGGGGGAGCTGTCGCACTGCTCCAGAGATGGGGCCCTCGGGGCGTCGCCCGGCTCGGGGCGGGCGAGGAGTTCGAGGGCCCCCGGACGGTGTGGTGACCATGCCGTGCCGTGAGTCAGCGGGGCTTCGAGGTTGCTGCACGGCTTTGTGACCGGGGTCGTTCTGAAACCCGCACCCCGAGGCCGAAATCATTTCGGAATCGGGAAACAGTGATGGCGGCGACGACGACGACGACGGCGACGACGACGGCGGCGGCGGCGACGACGACGACGACGACGACGATGACGACGACGACGACCACGACCACGACCACGACGGCGACGGCGACGGCGACGGCGAAGGCGGCGACGGCGACGGCGACGGCGGCGACGACGGCGACGACGGCGACGACGGCGGCGACGACTGCGGCGACGACGGCGGCGGTTTGGGGCCTCGGAGGTCCCAAGCCGTGCGGTGACGGACCGTGTGGTGAGGTGTTTCAGGCGAGGTCACCGCACGGCCTGTCCCCGCAGCGTTTTTTTGGACCCCCACGAGGGGGGGATGATGAGGTGGAGGGGGCAGGGAGACTGCCGCGCGCGGCCAGCTGCGGCTTCCGGCGATGGGAGCAGCTGGGTGCGTGAGCTGGGCCTCGTTCGGCGCGCAGTTCTTTTGTTATCAAGCGGTCCAATCTTTCAGATCTGGGACGACGTTTGCGCGGCGGCGTTCCGACGTATGCCCGACGTAGATCCGACGTCATTCTGTTGTGAATCTGGCGTGAACTTGCCCTCAAACTGGTCCTCATCAGGTCTTCTCCATAGAGGGGCAGCGCGAGGGCGCCGAGGAGAAACCGTGCTCCGCGCAGCGAGCTTCGCGAGGCGCGACGTCGAGAGTCCGCTCTCTGCCAACGGGCTGCCCGCTTCCCGCCCCCGTGGAGGGCCGCGGGTTGAGGCTCCCTGAGGCCAAGATTGCGCTGGGACGCGGGTAATTGCGTATCGTTTGATCCATCCCCTTCCCCACCCCCCCGAGTCGGGGAGAGGCCCCTCGAAGCCGAAAGGGAGCCGCAGATATGATCCAGAGCTCCGGCCCCCCCAACTGCTAATGGGATCGCCCCTCCCTCCCGCTGGATGGGCCCGCCCGCCCCCTCCGTCGCTTTCCCCTCCCTCCTCGCCTCTCCTCCCTCCCGCTGCCTGTGCGATGCCTGCCTTCCTGGCCTCTCCCTGCTCCGTGGCCCCTCCCGCTCCCCTCGCCCGTGGGGCCCTCCGGCCCCTCGCTCCCCTCCTGTCGTTCGCTTGGTGTCGTCGTTGCCTGCTGTGTTGTGGCACGTTCCTCCTAATGCTTCGGAGGTGGATAGACCTCCTACCTTGACACGTCGATTAACGAATTGGCCGTTTTCGGTTCGCGAGAGGGCGTCGCGGCCGTCATTTCTGCGGGTCCAGGTCCGTCGGTTTCGGTCCCAGGCCGTTTTCACTAAGGGGAGGTTTACTAAAGGGAGGTTCGTCCACCGCAGAACTAATGCTGCAATGTGTGATGGAGCACGCATGGCAGTTGGCATGTCAGCGAGCACGGTTGGCATGCACCGGCGCTCTGTCGCGCTCTGCGTGGGCGCCGCAGGCAGAGCGCTCGAGGTGCCGGTGGGTCACCCGACCCGTGCGCCGTGCCCTCGGGGTCACACGTCCCATCTCCGAGAGCCAGGACCGCGAGCTGCCACGGCGAGCTTCTTAGAGCGCCAGTCCTTTTTTCACGCACTGCACGGCATGGAGCTCTCCACGGAGACACTGGCCTTGGCCTTGGGCGCTCCCGTGAGCCTCGCGAAGGCCTCGCGAGTGGGATCTTTCCCCCCCCCCCTGCGATCGTGGCCCTGTGGGGGCGAGGTGTGGTGGAGGGGGGGGTCGGTGCTCCCGCCCCTCCCCATGTGGGTGTGGGGTGGTGCTGCGGTGCCGTCGTCGTCGTCGTCGTCGTCGTCGTCGTCGTCGTCGTCGTCGTCGTCGTCGTCGTCTGCGTCGTCGTCGTCGTCGTCGTCGTCGTCGTCGTCGTCGTCTGCGTCGTCGTCGCCGTCGTCGTTTTTGTCGTCCCCCCTCCCATCTTGGGGAGGGCGGGCTATGGAACCGTGGGACCCATCTCATCCAGAACATCATACATCGGAGCTCCGCTGGATTTCTTGGATCGGTGTTGGGCCCCCTGGCGGGCGCTGAGGTGGCAGGGGAAGAGTGGGTCGACCCTGACCTCCACGCGCCGTGACAGAAAATAGCGACGGAAGGTGTTTGGGAGTTTTCGGCGTCCGGGGCTGTCAAGAACCATTCGGGATGAAGGGCGGGCCCCCAGGAATGTGGTCAAGACCTCCCTTTGTGGGGGGGGCACTTCGCAGAGGAACACACGACATCGGATGCCTGGGGAGGTGCGGCTTGTGTCGTTGGAAGGCGGCGACTGATGCAACATGCAAAAGCGACTGACGATTCACCTGGAAACCCATGAAACAACGAGGAGCCACGGTAGCATGCTATTTCGGCGGGGCGGCCGCTGGCCCCACGAGGTCCTCGTCTACCCTGGCCTGGATGCCAGGGACTGGCAGCGCGAGAGCACGTGCGGCTGGTACAACGTGGACGCCTGCATGGCAGGCTCGCGCGCTCGTTCTGCTGCCCTCCCTACGGTAGGGTTGCGGATGAGCAGGAGGAGCAGCAGGAGCACGATGAGCAGGAGGAGCAGGAGGAGCAGGAGGAGGAGGGGGAGGAGCAGGAGGAGGAGGTAGATGAGGAAGAGGATCCGAGGAGGAGAAGGCATCGATACTGCCACCCTTGCCTCGTTTCTGCCCCTCTGGGCCTCCTGTGAGGCCCTCGTCGCCACCGCTGGCTTTGCCCCGCAATTCTTGCCACAACGCACTCAGGAGAGGTTCTGGGAGTGGCGGTTTCGGTACCTTCTGGTTCCCCCAGATGAGGATGAGGAGGAGGAGCAGGCGTGGAGGGATGGGGGGTGGGTTGGGGGAGGGAGGGGATGGGGTGTGCTGGGGACGCGGGACAGGTCGCCCATTTGGAGCCGAGGAGTAATCCATCAAGTCCGTCGTAACCTGTAGGCGATTGTCCGGATAGTGTAGGCAGAGCTAGAACGACGTATTCTCGCATAGTTCCATGGTTCCACAGAGGAGGAGGAGGAGGAGGAGGAGGAGGAGGTGGAGGAGGAGGAGGAGGAAGAGGAGTGCAAGCCCAAGACGCATCGGCCACGTTGCAATAAATCGTCCCTACAAGTTCCCACTTCATCGTAACCGTCTGAGAATCCTCAATCGTGCCAGAACGCAGCGAATCAACGAGACAGTTTTGCCCTGGCAATCTAAGATCGTGCAAAAAAACACTCCGTGGACGCTAACGCCACGAATCAACGTGCTGTTGCGTTCGGACAATCCTAAAACGTAATCCTAAAATGTGCCAGCAATCCATTCCTGGGACTTGAGCACCGCGAATCCTCGAAGCTGTTATCGAAATTCAAGACGAATGTGCGCGGCGCCCCAGCGAGAACAGCATTTTCCCAAACAGTGCTTGCGCTTAGGGGTTCTTATTTGTAGAAAAAGGAATTGGGTTGGTGTGCCGCTCTGGCGGCTATTTAGTCGCCGTCGCCGCCCGGCCGCCAACCCGTCGCCGCCTCGTCCTCGTCACCGCCCGTCGTCTGGGCCAGTGTGCCACTCCGGCGGCTACGTTGTCGCCGTCGCCGCCCCCTCGCCGTCTTATCGCCGGCCGTTGTCAGGGCCTGTTTGTTGGTCGCCGCGCTTGTTGCTGCCGTCGCCGCCCCATCGCCGCCTCACATATATTGCACAACATATATTGCCAAACGTAGATTCTCCTCTCTCAAAACAGAATCGGATCTACCCCCCCCCCGGCGTTTTCGGTACCCTTTTTGGGTATGTAAATCATATTCGGTTCTGACCACGTGTCCATCCTAAATATGTACTTACAGTATCCCAGGCCGGCCGGTATCCCCCCCCTGAGGTTCCTTAGTAAAAAAGCACTATGCGGTGACATTTTCTGTTCTTACATAGCAGTTTTTCACGAATCCCTTGCAAAACATGGGACGAAATGCACACGCGCGCGTCGTCGCGCGCGCATGCCGAAATCCTTCAAACACCTTCGGTGCCGGAAGGACGTCGCAATCGAGTGTCCAAAAAACATGCAAAAACACAGGGTTTCGCAACACTGATATGCTAAAAACGCTTCCGCGCGAGCTCCTGCGAAATCTTAAGAAAACCACGGGTTTTTCAAGATTTCCACAACATGCTATCAAACGGGCTTCGCGCGCACGCATGTCGAAATCTGTCGACCGCCCTTGCGCGTGTGCCGTCGCGAGAATCCTCTGCGAACAATGGGACGAAGTGTAGACGCGCGCGTCGTCGCGCGCGTATGCCGAAAAAAAATAAGAACCCATCGGTCTCGGAAGGATTTCAAAATCGTGTGTCCAAAAAACCCCACAAACACCCAAGGTTTCGCAACACGGATTTTCAACAAAAGCGTGCGCGCGCGCTCTTGCGTCGTCGTCGTCGTCGCCGTCGTCGTCATCGTCGCCGTCCTCCCTCCTCCCGCGTCGTCGTCGTCGTCGTCGTCGCCTACGTCGTCCTCTGTCTTTCCTTGTGTTCGTCGTCGTCGTCTTCGTTGGCGTCGTGGTCGTTTCCGTCGTCGTTGTCGCCGTGGTCGTCTTCCTCCTCCTCCCTCGTCGTCGTTGTCGTCCGTCGTCGGCGTCTCGTCGTCGTCCCTCCTATTTTGTCGCCGTCGTCGTCGTCGTCGTTGTCGTCGTCGTCTTCCCTCCTCCCTCGTCGTTGTTGTCGTCGGCGTCGCCGTCCTTCCTCCTTCTTCGTCGTTCGCGTCGTCGCCGTCCTCCCTCCTCCCTCGTCGTTGTCGTCGTTGTCGTCGTTGTCGCCGTCGTCGTCCTTCCTCCTCCCTCATCGTCGTCTTCGTTGGCGTCGTCGTCGTCGTCTTAGCCGTCGTCGGCGTCGGCGTCGTTGTCGTCGTCGAAGTTGTCGGAGACGTCCTCGGTGTCGTCGTAGTCGTTGTCGTCGGTGTCGTCGTAGTCGGTCTGAAGAGGTTTTGCAAACCAAGTTGCGGGTGGGTGGGTGGGATGTTTGCACGAGCAGTGGAGAGGATAGCTTCAAGTTGAGCAAGTGATCGATTCTCCTTTCTAAAAACAAAATAGGATCTACCACCCCCCCGGCGTTTTCGGTCCCCCTTTCGGGTATGTAGATCATGTATGATTCTGACCACCTGTCCATCCTAAATATGAAATCGCAATGTCCCAGGCCAGCCGGTCTTCCCCCCCCTGAGGTTCCTTTGTGAAACAACTCTATGCGGTGACATTTTTGGTTCTAACATAGCACTTGTTGACGAATCCCTTGCAAAAAATGGGACGAAGTGCACGCGCGCGTCGTCGCGCGCGCATGCCGAAACCCTTCAAAAACCTTCGGTGCCGGAAGGATTTCGCAATCGAGTGTCCAAAAAACCTACAACAATCCAAGGTTTCGCAACACAATTTGCTAAACAAGCTTCCGCGCGAGCTCTTGCGAAATTTTAAGAAAACCACGGGTTTTTCAAGATTTCCACAACATGGTATTAAACGGGCTTCGCGCGCGCATGTCGAAATCTGTCGAACGCCCTTGCGCGTGTGCCGTCGCGAGAATCCTCTGCAAAGAATGGGACGAAGTGCAGACGCGCGCGTCGTCGCGCGCGTACGCCGAAATCCTTCAAAACCCATCGATTTCGGAAGGATTTCAAAATCGTGCGTCCAAAAAACCTACAAACACCCAAGGTTTCGCAACACGGATTTTCAACAAAAGCGTGCGCGCGCGCGCTCTTGCGTCGTCGTCGTCGTCGTCGTCGTCACCGTCCTCCCTCCTCCCGCGTCGTCGTCGTCGTCGTCGTCGTCGTCGCCTACGTCGTCCTCTGTCTTTCCTCGTGTTCGTCGTCGTCGTCCTCTTTGGCGTCGTGGTCGTTTCCGTCGTCGTTGTCGCCGAGGTCGTCCTTCCTCCTCCTCCCTCGTCGTCGTCGTCGTCGTCCGTCGTCGGCGTCTCGTCGTCGTCCCTCCTATTTCGTCGCCGTCGTCGCCGTCGTCCTCGTCGTTGTCGTCGTCGTCGTCTTCCCTCCTCCCTCGTCGTTGTCGTCGTCGGCGTCGCCGTCCTTCCTCCTTTTTCGTCGTTCGCGTCTTCGCCGTCCTCCCTCCTCCCTCGTCGTTGTTGTCGTTGTCGTCGTTGTCGCCGTCGTCGTCCTCCCTCCTCCCTCGTCGTCGTCTTCGTTTGCGACGTCGTCGTCGTCTTCGTCGTCGTCGGCGTCGGCGTCGTCGTCATCTTCGTCGTCGTCGACGTCGGCGCCGTCGTCGTCGACGTCGTCGTCGTCGTCGGCGTCGTTGACGTCGTCGTCGTAGTCGTCGGTGTCGTCGTCGTCGTCGTCGTCGTCGGCGTCGTCATCGTCATCGTCGTGGGTTTTGCTAACCAAGTTGCGGATGGGTGGGTGGGATGTTTGCAAGAGCGCGGGATGTGTCAACTCGTTTGTTAAAATCAATTCTCCTTTTAAAAAAGAGACTCTACCCCCCCCCGACTTAACGCTTCCCCCTGGGAAAATATAATTTCATATCTATTCTGCACACTCGTCCATCCTAAATATGAAATCATATCATCCCAGCCAAACCGGTATCCCCCCCTGAGGTTCCCTGGTGAAAAAACACTATGCGGTGACATTTGTTGTTCTAACATAGCACTTTTTCACGAATCCCTTGCAAAACATTGGACGAAGTGCACACGCGCGCGTCGTCGCGCGCGCATGCCGCAATCCTTCAAAAACCTTCAGTGCCGGAAGGATTTCGCAATCGAGTTTCCAAAACAGGGTTTCGCAATCTTGCTTTGCTAAACAAGCTTCCGCGCGAGCTCTTGCGAAATCTGAAGAAAAACCATTGTTTGTTTTTCAAGATTTTCGCAAAATGCTACCAAACGGGCGTCGCGCGCGCGCATGTCGAAATCTGTCGAACGCCCTTGCGCGTGTGCCGTCGCGAGAATCCTCTGCAAAAAATGTGACGAAGTGCAGACGCGCGCGTCGTCGCGCGCGTGCGCCGATATCCTTCAAAATCCATCGGTTTCGGAAGGATTTCGAAATCGCGCGTCCAAAAAACCTACAAAAACCCCCGGCGGTTTCGCAAGACGGATTTGCAACAAAAGCGTGCGCGCGCGCTCTTGCGTCGTCGTCGTCGTCGTCGCCGTCCTCCCTCCTCCCGCGTCGTCGTCGTCGTCGTCGTCGTGGTCGTCGCCTACGTCGTCCTCTGTCTTTCCTCGTGTTCGTCGTCGTCGTCCTCTTTGGCGTCGTGGTCGTTTCCGTCGTCGTTGTCGCCGTGGTCGTCCTTCCTCCTCCTCCCTCGTCGTCGTCGTCGTCCGTCGTCGGCGTCTCGTCGTCGTCCCTCCTATTTCGTCGCCGTCGTCGCCGTCGTCGTTGTCGTCGTCGTCTTCCCTCCTCCCTCGTCGTTGTCGTCGTTGGCATCGCCGTCCTTCCTCCTTCTTCGTCGTTCGCGTCGTCGCCGTCCTCCCTCCTCCCTCGTCGTTGTCGTCGTTGTCGTCGTTGTCGCCGTCGTCGTCCTGCCTCCTCCCTCGTGTTCGTCGTCT